GCTGTCATACTTATAGAAAACTCTAATAGCAAATCTGTCAAGTCCAGAAGTACTACAGTTTGCCTTTTAGAGTTTTATAAATTGCCTCAAATTCAGTGATGTTCTTTCCCTTCTGTTAGAATTTATCTTTACAAGACAGTGCCTGCCAAAAAACAGTTGACTTCGTCTTGCCAATATTCCTTTATTACAACTGTTAGCTGAGCTAATGACTTCATCTGTTTTTGGTTAATAATCATTTTGATATGCTTCCTTTGCCCTCCAATTTCCCTGTGCTGCTATGTCCTTGAGCTACTTTACTGAGGGTTAAATGATAGTTTCTATTTTGCTCTCTCCTTTTCCCTTGACCTCTGCAATGCCAGAGGTCAGAGGTTAAATCAAAAAGTATTTCCTATATAACAAAATAGTACCACTCAGGGCAACCTTGGATATGATCCTTCATGTTTTTCCACTTGGTACCAAACATTTACTGGCCCACAAAATGTTTTACCAGCTTGAAAGAACGTAAGTAGGAAAATAAATAAATCAGTACTCTTTGTGACTTAGGTGGTATAAATCACGATGCCCCCTGAGTGAGCAGACGAGTAACTGTTTGCAAGTCTGATTTATTATGAACTATTTACTGCATTGGCCAAGGTACCATGTAAAAGATGAGTGTTAGAGTAAGAATGCTTTCTCCTTTATCCTTCTTTCTTTGTGTGTCTAGACTGAGAGCCCCCAGTAAAAATGCTTTCTTTGAGAACAAGATGCTGACTGCAATTCATCAACTTGCTTGTCCCAAAATGAAATCTCTCATTTTGCTCCAAACAATGTTTAGGTTGTCTGAAATATAAACATCCTTAAAACTGCCATTGAAGTCTCTGTAAAAACATTCAACATTTTTCTTTAAGGGGGGAAAAATCCCATGATAACCAAGGCTTACTGAGATTTCTTTGCCCAGGTGCATGCCACCCACAGAAGATGTTCCTTGCAGGTAAAAAAAAAACTCTATTTTGAAACAGAAAGCTTTTTTTCTAGTCTTTTATGAAGTACAAATTTTCCAATTCTCTCATTGGGAAATTGAAAAGAACAGGTTTATACCTGTCCTAATTGCTACAGTACAGCTTGCCAGGACTTCATAACAATGGGGAAAGTAGGATTCACACATGAAGAATGGCTGGGAATTTTAAAAACTTGTTTTCCCTTTGGGTAGGGCCAAGGTAAGTAAAAATATCTGAATTATATAAAAGGAATCACTTCTAATTTCAGTCTAACGCTTTAAAACGGGAACATCAAGGAACGATGTCATATGATAAACTAGCCAAGCCTTTTTAGAAGTCCAAGATACGGATTTATTTTAACCAAAATAAAATCTCGAGAAACAAAACTTCTTTCCTTTATCATTAATAATAACCTGATACCTTTATGGTGTTCCTTTATGAAAATAAAAAGAAGGAAAGAAAAACCTGTCACCATTTGCTTCTCAAGTTAAGAATAGAATCCATATAGCTGACTGCTTCAAATTGCTCAAGAGCTAGCTAGTTTCTACTTATTTCTAATTAGCTAACTTCCATTTATTGCTTATTTTATCACTTTAAAGAAACACAGTCGAACAGTACATCTTGTTTTTAACTGGCTTTGGAATTTAGAAAAAAAGTTTATGAGAAAATTGCACATTTTCCCCTTTAGACTTTTAAGGGATGATTATCCTTCCCATTAGGATTATGGGACACACTGGAGGTTTGCAACTAATGGCATCTGGTGTATTTTCCAAATATAAGCGCCCACAGTGGAGCTTTCCTTAATTTTTGATTCCTTTCTAGGAACAGAATGTACTTCTAGACACAAACCCAAACATATAAGTAGATGTTGAAAATTATGATAAATATAAAAATCTTCTCAGAATGATGTTTGCTATTTTGCATTCTCAAATCTCTGAGGTTTCAGAACTTGATAGCATAAGCCCATAGAATCTTTGTAATTCCACATACATGTGACATACATGCAAGGAAGCCACTGACTGCTCTAATCCTATTGATAGGATTTAACAATTACTATACCATTTCCCTTAGTTAAAAAAAAATCCTTATTTTTGAAAACATGCAACAAAGACAGTAGTTTTAAATAAATCAGAAGTTTCAAATTTTGGAGAATACAAATCTCAGATGAAAAACTCAGCCATCCAAAATAAGTCAGAACATAATAATACCTTCTGGAATTCATATAATTATGACTCTCTCATAATGTTCTGAGATTTAAGTAAGAGGCAGTTATTATTCTATTTCCTAGATGGATAAATAGGACAAAAACAGATTAATGTGCCCACTGATGGGACCAAATAAAAAAAATCTAGGTCTCCTTGAACACTGCTGAGCCCATTTCTTTACATGTAAAATATTTAATTGTGCTAAAACCTTCACCACCTCAAAGCTGGATCTGAATGTAACTCCTCAAAGTGCTTTTGATGAAGAAAGGATATGAGGTTGAGTTAATCCAGATTGCCACATGGAAAAGCCATCTGGGAGGGTATTTTGAAAGAAACAGATGGAAAAGGAAGAGATTCTTTCAAATGTAGTGTAAAATTTACATTATCCTCCACGAACTTCCATGTAGTCCCCATGTTTATATAATTCATCACTATGTCTTTAGACAATATAAATTAGGTAGTCCAATGAGCTCATATTCTTTTTTTTTTTTTTTCCTAATTCGAAGTCTGAGCTCCTCTCCTTTAAAGGACAAATTTGGAGCAGGGTAAAACAGTGGTAAAAGAGCCAGATTGATCAACACAATCCACTTGTGACTTCTTTGAAATTCCTGACTCTGGGGGAAAAAAAAATCTGTGATTTCACTTAGGCTTTTTGGAGTATTAAAGCCCAATTTGCATTCAGTTCCAGATACGTTAATGATCTCTACTGTGATATATCTGTTCTTGCATCTCTATTTGCCATCCATCTCATCTCTAACATATTCTTTTCTTTAATGAATGTTTCCGTTTTCCCTTCTACAACTAAATAACAAAATAAAACAAAACAATAAGAATTCACTCTTCAGGAAATCATCCCCTTAATAACTCAGGACATTCTACTCATTTATCTGTATTTCCTATCTGTCCTATGTATACTGACATTCTGTGGTCATTTGCTCAACAACTGTTCAAACATCTTCTCATGTATTTTCATTAAGTATCTTCATCCTAGCTACACATTAAGACTGTGTAGGGAGTTCACAGAAAATACTCATGCTTGTGTCTCCAGGCCAAATAAACAGAATTAATGGAGAGTAGGGCCAGTGGTATGTAGGTCAATGTTTAATAATTTGCTTTCCAAGAAAAAAAAAAGTCTAGATTTGCAGCATTTGTCAATTTCCAGAGTGTAAATATTCTCACCATAGTGGATTTCCAGCTACCTGCTCCAGTACCCCACTGAATAGGATGCAAGCATCTCTCTCTCTCTCTCTCTCTCTCTCTCTCTCTCTTTCTCTCTCTGATTCTAGTACTCAGAGAAGTTTAAGAACCTCAGAGTTAGATTACATCTTTCTCTGATGCATGACTCTGTTCAACTGATCTTCCCTACAACACCAAGAGTAGAGTTGGAATCCATATTTTCAACAGACCCTCTACAGTTCATAGTCCACCATGCAACAGTGAATACCGCAGTATTCACTGACTCAAATGCATAGAATTGTCAATTCACTTTCTCTTGATTTTGTTCCTGATAAAGGATGAAAGGCTAAATATATTTGGGATCTTCTATTGAAATATCCACTTTTTGTTTATATTTTGTTTTCTCTCAGAATGCTTACAAATACTGAGTATTTTTAGTGTCCACCTACTCCCACTGCGGGCTGCTAGGTTTGGAATCAGTAACGATGATGATTTTTTTTTCATAGTAGCTCTGCTTTTATCCCCTCAAAATACAGGGTAATTATCTGAATTCACTTTCCTGGGATTCTTACTTGTGTTTAAAAGCTTCAACTTTCTTCCAAGCAGCATTTTAAAGAATAGTAGTATCTAGAAGACTACCCAAGGGTCTCTTCCAGGCAAGGCAAGGGAAAAAGCTTCTACAGTATTTTAAATTATAAAAAGGAGATCTACAAGGAACTTGATAACATCATGATATTGCTTAATGGCTTACTTCAGTAGGTTTTCTGTAAGACACCTCCTCGGTGTCTATTTAGATCCAGAAGGAAAGAGCATAGCAGTACATTCTTATATTTTAATAGTTTACATTCACAATCATGATTAGTTTCTTCTTCAGTTTGTCTTCTTCAGTAGATATTTCCTCAATAAACGTGAATTTTATGCTTCTGCATATAGAATGTAGTTATGACAAACAGCTCCAGGCATATAGTAAAGTAAATCAAAAGTAAAGCTGGTTCCTAATTTTAGTGTTGTCAAAGACTTCAGAGACTATGATTCCTTCATGAAAGCAAGACCTGGGAATTCATTAATCTGCAAAATCACTAAAACTTAATTTCCTAGTTTCCCAGTCTAGTTGGGGGTGTTTTAGAGTCACCAGATGTTACAGAATAACTCAATGAACAAATTTTTTCCCCCGTCATTATTCAAACAATAATTTGCAACTCTTAAGTGCTGTATCAAGTCAAAGGGATATAAACAGCCAAGTGGGAAGGATACAATTTGATATTTGAGAATTGATAAAGCAGGGGCTGGAGATACAGCACAGTGGTTAGGGTCCCCAGTTCCACCACCACCAAAAAAAATAAAATAATGTAGTATACATAAGGTTAAATATTAATTTTACATGTGAGATAGTGTGTTTTGTTTAAAAGTACTTATATTTGCTTTTACACTGAAGACCTTGATATTTTAGGTTTTTAGTGACACAATCTCAGACTATGTATTCCTGAGCTTTTACAACACATTTTCAAGAATATTTCAATACCACCATGATCACAACTAGAAAAGTATCAAAGGTTTAATTTGGGAATCTTTTTTTCAGTATGAATTTTACTTTACTTCTTATACTAACTGGAAATGAAAAATAAAAATGATCATATTTTACCTGAGCAGGCTTCTTCTGAACGACTTGTTGTGGCTAAGGGAAAAACAGAAACAAAAACACAAATGAAAGTCATACTCTAAAAGAAAACACGCACAATGAAAAAAATCAAGTACGTACATTTTAAATGTAGATGAATGTTTACAAAGCAAAGGAGAAAATTTAAAGTTTAAATGGTTCATCTAAGGTTAAAGGGTGCTTATTCATAATCTCTGTGTGTAAATACAATGTAGGTCACCTCAATGAAAATGATGCTCAATTAAAGCCTGGCATACAAACCAACTATACTGAAATAAGCTTACCCCTATTTGAAATACTTTGCTTTTAGTCTGGATATCACAACATTTAAGCAAAGGATCTAATTTTTTTAATATTTGGATTTTTAAAAATAGCTCTACTGAGATAAAATTTACATAACACACAACTCACCCATTTAAAGTATATAATTCAAAAAAATTTTAGCATATTCAGAGAGTTCTGCAAACATTATCCCAATCTAATTATAAAGGCCTTTCATATCCCCTAAAAGAAACCCTGTATTTATCAGTGGTCTCCCCATTCCTTCCCAACTTCCCTAGCTATTTTTCCATGTCTGACCAGCCATGAATCTACCTTCTGTCTTTATAAATATGCCAACTCTATATATTTAGTGTAAGAAGAATCATACGATATTCATCTTTTGTGTCTGGCTTCTTTCTCTGGCGTAGTGTTTCATAGGGTCATTCATACTGTAGCATCAGTAGTTCTTTCCTTTTTATGCCAAATAGTATCCCGTTGCATACATGTACCACCATCCTCAGTTGATGAACATTTGGGCTATTTCCATCTTTTGGCTATTATGAGTAATGCCTCTATGAACATCTGTATGCAAGTTTTAATGTGTATGTATTTTTATTTCTCTTGGGTAACCTAGGAGAAGAAATGCTGGGTGATATGGCAATTCTTTTTTTCCACTTTTTGGAACAGCTGCCTGATGGTTCTCCAAAGCAGCTGCAAAATTTTACACTCCCATCAGCAACATATGAGAGTTCCAATTTCTCCACGTATGTGCCAATGCTTGTTATTGTCTGTCTTTTTTTATTATAGACATGAAACGGGGTGTGAAGTCGAATGTCATTGTTCTAATTTGAATTTCCCTCATGACTAATGATGTTGAGCATTTTTTCATGTGCTTATTGGCCATTTGTGTATCTTCTATAAAGAAATGTTTATTCAACTCCTTTGCTCATTTAAAAAATTGGGTTATTCATCTTTTCATTATTGAGTTGTAAGAGTTCTTTTTATGAATGAGATACAAGTCCTTTATCAGATATATGGTTTGCAAATGTTTTCTCCCATTCTGTAAATTCGTGTACTTTTTTGATAGTATCATATGAAAAACATTTTGTTGTATCTACATCTCTCTATATATTTAATTATATGTGTAGGCCAAAACTCTCCTCTCTTGAGTGAAACATCTGAGGGCAATTTTTCCCTTGCTTAAATTAATTTTCCAATAGAGTTATTAAAAAATATTTGTTTCTCTAGTTTCACGAAAGGCAAATTTAAAGTCTCAGCTTTTAAATGGATTATTTCCAGTTCTTGCTCTCAGGTCTGAATATAAGCCTTTTTCATTCCACCTATATATCACTGAGATCCGCCAATACATTGAGCCACTCTGATGTGGAGAGTGACACGCTTTTATGGTACAAGCAAAAGAAACAGAATTGCTACAGTTCTCCAAGTAACAGAAGCTGGGTCAAATTCACGATAGCATAAGCACCTATGCATTTTCTGTCCTCTCACAGTTTTTGTGGTGTTGTAGTGTTCTATTGCCGCATATTAAAGATGTTAAAAAAAATTATCAGAATTTAAAAAAAAGACACATGATAAAAATAAAATAACCAGCAAGATACTTCGGCTCACTTAAAAAAAAAATCTCCCTGGTCTCTTTAAATGGCCTTAGAGATGATGTCATCATAAAAGCCCAGGTTTTGAGACTTTTCCCCAGGTGGAATGGAATCAAGGATAACTAGGACTTCTAGCCTCTTAGGACTCGAAAGCGTGTGCTGAGAGTATTCATTTCAAAAGGGTCATTTGTAAGAACAGACTACTTTTCTTCCTCCTCTTTTTTTCTCCCTGCCGATTACACCTGTACACATGTTTACTCCAAAACCGTTTCAAATCCACACACATTCTTGCAGGCTGACTGGTTCCTACTGCTCAGAAATCCCCCTCCTTTCTTGGCCCGGGATCCTGCATTCATGTGACTCCTGCACAGTGCGTCTCAATGAAATCGTCTGAAAGGGCTGCCAGCTCACCCAATTTTCCATGAATTAGGTCCTGACACTTCAATGAGGGGAAAGACAATGTCTGAACCCCTGCCAGCCCTGGCTGCCGGCCTAGTCCATGTCACAGAACTTCCCCAGCTACCCTTAGACACAGCACTTCATACTTCTCAGACCACCAAACAAACAGACCCTTGAATACTTTAGTGCTGGTTGTGGGTAGGGCTGCCAGGATGTTTTCCCGGCCTCTGGCACCCAATGGCTCCAGACTGTGCCGAGAAAGTTTTTTTTTTTGTTGTTGTTGTTATTTTGTTTTGTTTTTATTTTTTATGAATGGCTTTGGTCGAAAAACGCAGACCGAAGCATAATACTACCGCCATTCATAAAAAGGGGAAGGAAACTAACTGCTGGCTGGAAGGCTTTTTGGCCACCAAGCAAACAGCAAGTCTCTTATCTTCCTTGAGGCATCTCCCAGCTTAGAACTTAGTGTTAATACCTAAACCAGCTCCTCGGGGTTCTTGGCACCACAAACATGTTGGCCATCACAATTTTATGAGGACTGAATAATATCAAATATGCATATTAATCGCTAGTGGGGTTAACGGTGTGTTTTCGTGCGCTTTAGTAAACGGGTAATGTTTTACACGTGCATTTCCTACATAGAGGCTAAAATCTTTTATGTTTTCAACATCTGCCCCTTTGTGACTGGGAGGGCTCAGACCTTACTGTTTTCATTTTCTCACAGGGAAACTAAGGCATAGGGAATTTAGATAATCTCCCCGAGATCATTTTCTAAAACTAAAACAACTTGAGTCTATTAATTCTCTTAATCCTCTGTATAATGTTCGGAGGAAACCTGTTCTCTTCCTTCAAAAAAAAAAAAAAAAAAAAGTTAAATCCAGAGCCCATCCAGAGAAGCTAAATTTCCTGGCCTTGATTCTACCTCCAGATTCCCCTTTATCTCTGGGATCTGTCGGTACTCCTCAAAGCCTCACTTCCAGGGAAAGCTCAGGACTTCCAGCTCCCCCATCTCATTTGGAAATTTTTTAGTATCAACCATGGAGGGTCTGAGTAAGATCTTTTAAGTGTGAATTTCATAATGATGGTTCTATTGAACTGACAGCAAAACTTGTTCATTTAGACAAATCTAATGACTTCATTTCTGATAAACAGTGAGTTTATATAGTATAAATGCTTTGTCAACTCAACAGGTAAACCCTGTAGTGCAGGAGGTTTTGGGTTCATTATGTTGAGACTTACAACTTTCCAAAAGCTTCTCATGAAAACCCTCTCAGTCTGCAGTTGTAATCATCCTTCTAAAATACAATGGATTAGTTTCCCAGAACAAAACCACCACCAGCAGGACTCTGAAGAAATGTTTTGGATTAATATAATATTTTTAAAAACCTGTGAGAACTGAAAGGCCCTGTCAATAGAACATGTCAGTTAAGATGAGGACGTTTCGTCCTCTGGCCACATAGCCTTCAGGGTGTAGTGCTCTGTACGTTAGCCCTTATCCAAAGTGACTAACTCAGCCACAATCCAAACTAGTAAATACTTAAGTAAATGATACTATTGTTAAAGTTCACATAAGTATCTTAGGGTGTAACATGCTAAGAAAGTGCAGAGTATAAGAGGAAAGAACACAGCTTTGAATTTCTGAGATCATACAGCAAACCAGCATCTCTTCAAGGGAAAATGGTTCTTGAATTCTCAAAGTTGACTGTGTATTTCGGTTTTTAAGATTGTGCTGAAAAACACCTGTGTAGAAAATGTTCTGCAATTTCATCTATTTCAAAATAATGGAGGCGCTCTCCAGCCCTCTTACACCCTATGGTTCCAGGGAGTCTAGATAGTCTAAAGCTGATACTTAGACAGCTAAGCTCCCCTTCTCATAGGCATTGAAAGAAAATCCTTCATAACAAAGGACCTAGACATTAGCAGTTCAATTTAGTACTAATCTGAACATTAAATGAAAACAGGCTTGAATTCGGCTTAACCAACTAATTTTTAGAAAATGAAGTACAAAGTATAGTAAAGGAAGTATAATTGTTATGCAAAGGGTCTTAAGTTGACCTTAGAAAGCAGCCCTTCTTAGATCGTTGTGCAGAAGTGTCTTTGGGTTTTATGTCAGCAGCAGAATTTTAATCTAATTATATTTTTTGGTTTTTGCCAGCCAGTAGTAGGTGATTTTGCTCGCTTTGTGTTAAGATCAAGTGAGTATTATTCAGTGGATAGGTACTTCTATTCCCTAACATAATCTTTATTTTTTAAGTAGATTGTTTTATCATTTTCATTAAAGTATAGGATAAGACAGATTCCCTAGCTATTTACTAGAAAGGACTTAATAACTCTAATTTCTGGGAGAACTGGCAGACCCCTAAAATGTAACTCTCAACACAGCCCCACAAAACAACATCTCAAGCCAGGCCTGGTGGTGCAAGCCTATAATCCCAGTGATTTAGGAGGCTAAGCAGTAGGATTACAAGTTCATGGCCAGCCTCAGCAATTTAGCAAAACCCTGTCTCAAAATAAATAAATAAAAAATGACTGGGGATGTTGGTCAGTGGTTAAGTACTTCTGGGTTCAATGCCCAGTTTAAAAAAAAAAACAAAAAAACTCACAGAATATGTTCAGTTGTTGAAATTTAAAGTCAAATATGGTGTCATATTAAAAAATATTTGCAAAAGGATACTTGGTTTTAAGTTTCCAAAGAGTGTTTTATGCTTAAGGCAGCTTATAGACATAGAGGGGGCTTGTGCCTGTGTC